ATTTGAGAGAGAGATAACACAACAGTTATAAAATCTCGAAGGATAAACACCTGTAACTATGCATCTTACTGGTTATTGGAAGACTTTCACAAAATCAACTCTTTTTATTCTATTTTGGCACTGCTATATATTCACAAAACTGCTTCTTATTTTAGAATAGTCACAGATTCTAAAACTACAGAACAATATCTTCTAACTCACGGCCTATCTTACTACTTCTTCTACTTCACAGCCGAAAGACCAAGAAGACGCCTAATCACAAGAAACAGTGACGCCATAACCAGATCTTCCAAGCCCACGACACATCAAAATCAACAGTATCCTGTTCTCGCCGCCACACACGCTTCCGAGACAGAACCGCCTACCACCTCCAGGAGAACAACCGTGAAAATAAACAATAGCACCTAAACAACCAACATCCAGATAACTTCACGGCAGACACAAACCATGTTATCTCTATCAACCAAGTGTGACGCCTCTACTTCTACGGACAGCCACTTTTTTACACACCAAGAAACACAGACCAGGATTGCCAAAAAGGACAGAAGAATCCAGACTGAAGACCACAACGATACAGACTACAAGAGATTGACAAGATCGACTTTAGAAACTTCAGACGCACTACCAACCGAAGTCTCCACATCACCCAGCACCATCCCGTTACACAAGACACCGTTCCGTCGACTAATCAACCAGCTAAACAACGACTCGAGTGTACACAGATTCACGCCGCCTCTTCACCCAGTCAGTCTGTTCTAGCCTTCAAGCATCACCAGTAGTCACACGGAATTCAACCCAAGAAACTAATAATATGTCTTTTTCCACAGCATTTTCTGGGCACGGTTAGAGTATTTTATTCGGCGCCCTGGCCGTGAAAGTGGGTTTTCTCGGGGTACTCCTGTTTCCCCCACAGCAAAATATTTCTTATGCTTTGGATCCCTAGATCCCAGCTCTGAAAAGGACCATCTCAGGCTAAATGTAATACTATAGTTCTTTGATAATGAATGGCAGCTGATATGTTGATTGCATAAAGGAGATAAGATATAAGTAATAGGATTTTTATTAACTGCTACCTCTCAAACTAATAAACGCAATGGATAGTTGAAGAAGCGTTAATGCTATCGAGCTGATTGTCCTTCCAAATCAGAGGACATACCATACATAGCCTATATACATTATTATTCATACATATAAAGCAGAGTTGGCCATCTGTTGGCTTGATGTCAAAAGTATTGGTTGGAACTGGCTGTCTTGATGATATTTAGTATATGAATTCGTGTGAATCCCAAAGATCGAAGTTAAACTGATCAGCAATTGGACGAACGGTTTGAGTTTGGCAGCCATTTTAATTGTTATTATGTGAAATTGACGTCAAACAAAAGTGACGTTTCATTCCGCCCGTATTCAGTAGACCGAAATGGCGAATGATGCACACTTACCCCGTCCCACCATCCCCATGGAGCTAACTGAATAAATTACACAAGAAGAGGAGGTATTTTTGCTTTTAACAGATTTATAAAAAATTTATTCAAATTTTGAGTCTCTTTCATTCGACGCGGTCGTTATTTTTCTGTTCTTTTGATGGCTGTGAAAGACAGGCGTACTAGCTGTTACTTTAAAATTTTCCAGTAAATACATATTATTTCTAAGCAGTTTTGTAGTGCAAGACGTACGTATTCATTTAAACAACCAAACAGACATTTCCTAACTTCATAAAGACAGTATCTAACGTTTGGAAAATAAAATATTTGTTTTTATAGCATCTGAAACAACAATTTCTGATTCTGAGATGTGGTTTTCGTTAATACAAAAATGTATACATGATTATAGTATTTTGGCACTTGTGTATAAAGTTAAAAATCATAAATAATATTTAACGTTAAACTGGTACACAATTAAAAACATTTTATTTAGGCCTATTCCGAGGATGACGTTGTAACGTCGAAACATGTAGAGTCGTCAACTTGTTGAAGGCCATAGATAGGCCTAAA